ATTGTTTTGGAAGAAGTGCAACCAGATTGCTCCTTGGCGGCCATGATGGCCAAATTTCCTCTCTCATACTTCGGACATAGTGTCAGGAGTGACCAGTCACTGGAGAAGGATATCATGTTTGGTAAGGTGGAGGGTCAGAGAAAAAGAGGAAGACCCCCAATGATATGGATTGGCCAAGTGGCAGCATCGATGGACTCAAGTGTGGCAACGATAGTAAGGTTATTCCAGGATTGGGCAGTGTTTCGTTCTGCTGGCATAAGATCACTGTGAATCGGTATCAACTCAATGACACCAATAACAACAATAATGAAAATAAAACAAGTGTACTACTGATCATAGTTGTTGTTAAGTGCCATCAAGTCAGTTCTGACCCATAGCGACCCTGTACAGGGTTTCTAAGACTGTAAATCTTTACGGGAGCAGAAAGCCTCATCTTTCTCCTGCAGAACAGCTGGTAGTTTCAAACTGCTCACCCTAAGGTTTGCAGCCCGATTCATAACTACTACTCTACTGATCATAGAGACGTGTTTAAATATGTTTGGAATAAACCCATACTAGTAAGGAGCTCGGAGTCCTGGTGTGGCACTGTGGGCTAATGTGTCAGACGGCAAAGTCATTTGAACTGCAAAGTCAGTGGTTCAAACTCACCAGCTGCTCCTTGGAAACCCTATACAGGGTCACTATGGCTCGGAATCAACTCAACGGCATACAACAACAACTACAATAAATTTTAGTGAGTAAAATCACAAATACAGAATTTGCAAATATAGGATTTGTAAATAATGAGGATTGAAGGCATTAAATACAAAGTTTTCATTACTATTCTGAGAGTCCACTCAGGAAGGGTCTGATCTACTCTGAGGCCTGAAGCAAGTTTCCCTGGCGAGATGGACATTTGAGCCAGGTGAGGAGGTGAGCACAGGGTGTTTGTGGAAGAAAGAATGAGGGGCCTAACGCCCCACAATAGCTAGTCTGACCTTAGTGTGTCTAACAGTAACTGAGAGTTGGCCAGTGTGGCCCAGATGGGAGTGAGAAATTCAGAGCAAACTAGGAAACCACACTAGTTGGCCCCGCCCCTGGCCCTGGGCTCTTGTGGGCTCTCACCATACGTCGTCTTCTCCAAAGGCCGCCTATCCTCACAGATGTCATCTATGGCTTTGCCCAGGATGCCATGCAATGTGTAATCCTTGGTGAGATGAGCATCATACATGTTGGAGAGAAGCCTGCACCCTTGGACCATACCAAGCCCAAGCACCCCAGAATCCAGGGCTTCTGGCCAGTGCCCTATATCAACTTTCAAACTGGTGAATTTTTGTCCTCCAACCAGTAGATGGCTGGTGAGGGCAGGCACTCTAGTGGCTGTGAGAGTCAGTTCCTTGTCGTTGCTGTCTACCACCAAGCCCAGTAAGAAGTGAACATGCTGTTCAGGGGCAGGAGGTTTCCTAGCACTGAGACTCTTCAAAACCTGTAGCTTCACCATGTTCCACAGGTGTTCCCATTTTAGCCCTGGGAGCTTGTAGGTCACGAAAAGCCCGTGCAGTCGAGCCAGACTCTATGCCTTCAGCTTGCAGTCCAGGATCATAGAATAGCTGAGACCTCGCAGTATGTAATTAAAAAAAAAAAGAAAAAAGAAAAATCTGAATATTGGTAACTGGTTGCTGACAACTAGGAGTTGGCTGAATAGGTATTCCCAACTGAAGAGAGATCTTTCACAGAATTTGGATAATAGACAAACAAGCCACCTGCAACCATGATGAAACAAGATATAGGACTACTTTGTAATCACCTATGAAACTAGACAGAACAAACAGCCGTGAAAGTATAAAATACTTAATCTCCATTCTTTTTCATCTATTTCATGAATCTTTTCTCTTTTTTTTTTAATTACAGATTTTATTTATTAGAGCAGTTTTAGGTTTGCAGAGAAATTGAGTAGAAAGTAAAGAGTAAAGAGTTCCAACCCTCTTACCCTGCATGCAATTTCCTGTATTGTTCACTTGTATTGTGTCAGTATACATTCGGTAATACATTTGTCAAAATTGATGAATCAGTACTGATACATTATTATCATTAACTAAAGTCCATAGCTTGCCTTGTTGCTGATGTTAAGTGCCGTTGAATTGGTTCCAACACATAACAACTCTGTATAAGATTTCTAAGGGGACTCTGGTAGATTTGAAACACCGACTTTGTGGTTAACAGTCTGGAGCTTATCCTACAGTACCACATTAGGACTCCAGCTTGTATTAGAGTTACTGTTGTATCATTTGTTTGCTATCAGGAAATGGTATGGAATAGTTTAATTACCCTAATAATCCCATGGGCTCCTAGTTATTATTTCATACCTCCTGCTCTGACCCTGAGTCAAAACACCTAGATTTTCACTGTCTCTACAGTTTTATCTTTTCCTGAATTTTATAAAGTTGGAAGCATTCAGTACAGTATATACCCTTTCAGATGTACTTATTCAGTTAGCAGTATGCCTTCAAGTTGCCTTTTTTTATATTACTGAATAATATTCCATTTTATGGATGTACCACAGTTTAACCATTCATATACTGAAAGACATCTTGGCTGCTTCCATTTTTTAATTTTATTTTTTTCAATTATGGAAAGAATTCCAATCCATGCAGATTTTGATGTGAACATAGGTTTACAACTCATTTGGATAAGTACCTGAGAGCTGGATTGATGGACTGTATAGTGACAGTATCTTTAGTTTTACATTAAGGAGTCCTGATGTGGTGTTGTAGATAAACACTGGGTTTAACTACAAGGTTGGCAGTTCAAATATACCACTGGTTCCTCAGAAACCTTATGCATGATTTCTTTGTGTTGGAACTGTCTCAATGGCACTGAACATCAGCAAATTCACTCTTAGAAAGCTATTACTCTAAGAAACTTCTTGCTGCTGTTAGGCACCCTGGAGCCAGTTCCAATGCATAGAGGCCCTATGAATGAAACACTGCCAGGTCCCTATGCCTCTTTACAAGTGTTACTTGTAAACTGTTGCTACTACCGTGTCACTCCATCTAGTTGGGGGTCTCTCTAAATATGAGAAGGCAGAAGACTGAATAACTGTGGTTCCAACCCCCAGTAGCATTTATGTTTTGTTAAGGTCTGTCATCTTTAAAAAAAAAAAAAAAAAAAGATTATGTTTTGGCCTACTATATAAACATGCAGTTTTGTATGACAGCAAACAGAACAAAGGGCCCCTCCTCATCACTATTGTAGGATCATGCATTTGATTTAATCAGACCACTAATCCCATTCTTTTAAATCAGACCACTAACCCCATTCTTTGTTGCATTTTTGTAGTTAGATGTCTGCCTTTCCATAAGACTTGTGAGATCCTAGAGGGACTGAACCTTATGTTAACTTTGGCATCCGTCATTGGCACACATACTCAAGCACCATTTCACTGACTGAATGAACAAATGCACAGATCAATGCATTAATAACCCAATATAAATCCACTGAGAAACATTTCATTTTTGCATATGTAAAGATATTAAACAATAAAGCAAAAGCAATCTGTTTTTTCTGATATTTCCTACCATCTTCTCACAGTTTCCTCCTCTTTAGTCCTCTAGAAGAAAAGTTACTAAAAAAGGAAGGGAAATCTTTCAGTTTATTGCGTTTCAAACATGCAGTCTCTATTTACAACTTCCAAAGTCCTATTTTGAAAATTGTATGCACAAGAGTGTATTAATTATAGGAATCATGAAACCCTGTGGCTTGATGTGTTGAAACAGAAAAAAGGTTTTAATTCAAGGGGAACTGTCTCTAGATTTTGACATGAAATATAATTTCTTGCATCGACCCTACACTAATGAAGATCAGAATGTTCTCTTAGTGTGATCAGAACTACTCCCATGTTGATTACCTCTCAGTGAGTTGAGAGGAAATGGAAAAGCAAAAGCATTGATTTTGAAGAAATTTCTTGTCTTGCAAACTACATATTACCCAAATAGATTTCCTCTTAATCTTTTAATAAACTGAAACAGTTAGTGATTTCTGCAAATGGTACTTCCAACTAATCTCACACAAAACTCTACAGTTCTGCAGTGGATTAGAAAAGTGCCCCATCTTTCAATATTTGTTTTTGTTCCTTTCAGTAGCTTAATTTAATTCTTATTATCCACAATGACAAGGCAATTTCAGATGATGAAATTTCTCATGTGAAACCTACACCTTTCAAATAATAATTTTCAACTCCAAATTGGATTTGTGTGTATGTGTGTGTATGCATACACACAGCTTACCTGAAGATGACAGTCTTATTTGTGAACATATAATTCATTTCATAGATTAAAATGTTTTTATAGAAATAAGAAATGAGATACCATTGTTTGTAGGAATGGATTACAATCACATTATCCTCAGGTTCATAGTATGAGATGAAATGACAAAATGAAAATAAAATAGAAAACCTCACGTACTTATCAATATGGATGAGGTAATAATATAAGCTGGGTTTTAAAGAACACTAGTGTTATCTATGTGTCTCGGATTCCTCTCCCATCTATCCTGTGCAAAGTTGCATCTGTCTCTACAATTCCCATCTTTCTGGGTTTTGAATCATAGCAACCCATGTGAGAGAGTAGAGCTGCCCCACTGGGTTTTCTCAACTGCAGTTTCTACTGGAGCACATTGCCAGGTCTGTCTCTCATGGAGCATTTAGGGAAGTTTGAACTGGCAACCTTTCAGTAAGCAACAAAGTGTTTAACCATTTGCATCACAAGAGCTCCCTATTAACTGCCTAGGTTACTTTATTACATCATCTTCCTACATGAATCTGTTTATCTTATGAGATGTCCTTAAGGTATCTATCCATCCCTGTCAGAGTGTGGACACATGGAGGTCAAGTTATTAATGGAATTTTAACTAAGGTCCATTTCACTGTGAGTCCAGTGGGGCCCCAAACTCACCCTGTAATGATTTCCCCAGTTTCATACTGCATAATCAGAATATTGTTGTTGTTAAGTGCCATCAAGTGGGTTCCAACACAAAGCAACCCTGTATAGGGTTACCAAGAAGCAGCTGGTGAGCGTGAACCACTGACCTTGTCATTCCAACCGGCTATACAGTCCAGCACATTAATCCAAAGTGAACTACCGAGACTCCATGATCCAAATAGACATACTTAAAAAACTAGCACAACCCCCACAATGAATCTCTGGAATGTGAATAAGGGTTACTGTGATTGGAAAACCCAAGCAGAAGTCATTGGAACTACCTCTACCTAGGAATAGTAAAGAAAAAGCAATAATGCATTCCTGAAGGGATTGCAGAGATTAGTGTTACATCCAAGGGCTTAAAGGATGCAGAATTGGTTATTCCCACCACATCCCCTTTCTGGCCTGTTTCAAAAAAAACACACCAGATTGATCTTGAAGGACAACAGTGAATTAAAGTATACTTAACAAGATGGTAACTCCAATTGCAGCTGCTGTTCCAGATGTTTCATCGCTTGAGCAAATTAATACATTTCCGGGTGCCTGGTATGCAATTATTGATCTAGTCAATGACATGCCAACAATACATCTTCACTGTCCTACCTCAAAGGTACATCAACTCTTCAGCACTATGTCACAATTTAGTCCATTTGTGTTCTTGTTGTTAAGTGTCATAAAGTTGGTTCTGATTCATAGTGAATATGTATAGGGTTTCTGAGTAGTGGCTGGTGAGTTTGAGCCATCAACCATGTAGTTGAAACCAACCTTGTGGTTCAAATCAACCATATGGTCCAGTGTATTATCCCACAGCACCACAATGTTATTGCCTTTTTCTGTCACAAGATATCACACTGAGGACATTGTGCTGATTGGACTTTGTTGTTGTTGTTGTTGTTGTTAAGTGCCGTCAAGTCGGTTCCGACCCATAGCGACCCTGTACAGGGTTTCCGAGGGTGTAAATCCTTACGGGAGTAGAAAGCCTCATCTTTCTCCCGCGGAGCGGCTGATAGTTTCGAACCACTGACCTTAAGGTTCGCAGCCCGATTCGTAACCACTACGCTACCAGAGCTCCTTATTGGACTTAGTAAGGAAGAAATAACAATGACTCTAAACTTACTGGTAAAACACTGCGTGTTTGTTGTTGCTAAGTGCCATTGAGTCTGTGCCAACTCATTGAGACACTATCTGTATGCTTTTTGTTGTCGTTCTCGTTAAGTGTCATCCAGTTGGTTCCAACTCATAGTGACTCTGTGTCGGGGACCTGCCTCAACAGGGAAGTTTGGTTCACAAAGTAGGGAGATCAGGCGGCAAAAGAAATAGAGAAAGAATATACACAAAGACACAATGAGAGAAAAAAAGAGACATTCCCGAGACCAGAGTGGATGCAAAACTGGCAGGCAGACCCTGCATTGCAGGCAGCATGGCACTGCAGGCAGTAATGCATGCAGCATTAAATCTGCATTCGTCTTTTATCTTTTCAGGGAGAGATTTTGCACACAGGAAGAAGGTGATTATTCAGATAAGACAGGGTACAGAAATGAAATGTGATTAATCGTTCAAAACAGGACACAATGATTTACAGGAACAAATTCTA